AAATGTCGTTGGAATCGATCGACATCGAATGGCATGCCTCGCGTTATATACACATCTGTAAAGTCGAGACAGCGCAGGCATTTCGCAGACAATCCCTCGAACGTGGTGAAGACAGATGAGGTACTAAATCGACACTTTAGTTACACAAAAACTTAAGATTTCTTCGAAGAGTGGAGGTAGAGAAGAGAAAAACATATGAAGAAGCGGGTTAGGGGTGCAAACTTGAGCAGTGAAGATTACTTCCAGGGAATATCGAAAAATAAATGAAAGTGAAAGGAGGAGAAAAGAGATGGAACCAATGTAAGAAATTCTATAAGGGAAAATCTATCAGAAAGATCGTATGACAGAGTTTGCGGATCGGTTTTCTTATTACCTAAACAAATAATCGTGTTTTATGTAAGAATTTATAGAAATGGAAACATTTCGCAGATTCTTGAATCTACGAAAATATTAATTTCATTAGAAATAATTAAGAAATTAAATTAGAATTTATAGAATATTGTAAAATAGAATTTGTCGTATTTGTTTCTTGTCTCTTAATGTAATAAAATAAAAAAAGTTCCATGATAAATGATGATGAAGAAATGATATAATGGATAAAGAATTGTGAAAGATACGTTCTACGCACCGCTAACAATTGAAAATAGTCTCCAACGGTGGTACAATTGGAGCTAGTTTAGCGCTCGACCCTCCTCCCTGCCATGTGGGAGGGTGGAGGAAAGTCACCCCTATGGTGAAGTTCTTCTAAACGAAAGGAAAATCGATGGAAAAGACGAACCGTTTATCGAGACAATCTCGGATGTTTGGCAGGAAGGAGAAAACAATTATCCCGCCTTTAAATCGGGCAATTAAGCGCCATTCTACCAGACGACCTTGGCCTCTTCCAGTTAATCGTCCCCCCTTTTTTGAAACAATTTTACCGCACTCCCCTATCTAAATCAATCGTTTTTCTTCCATCTCACGGCTTTTTCATTTTATTAAAAAAAAAAAAAAAAATCGAAGGGTGACATATTGAGAGGGAGCCAACTAATCTGGCTCCATCTAGTGGGAGGCCTACGAGTAAATTTTACGCGCAAAATCTAGTAACCTCCGCGTAACAGGTTCCTCCTAGAAAACAAGTAACACAATTCTATGATATGGCAAGTCATCTCGATGAGGAGAAAGGTCATGTTAATAGTATCAGAACGGCACTAAGGGAGTAAGAGAGGATAATTCTCTACAGAGATCCTCCCTCCTGTAATACATTTAGTCGCGATCTCGACATCTTGTTTCAGATCTGGCGCCTGTTTTTGTACTAATAAATCCTGCAGGTGGCTCATCTCCTCCCATTAGAATCGCCCCTAGGTCGAGTGAGTCATCATTTATCATCGACCCCGAGGATGACGTGTGTTATATTTTCTTCACGGAATCTTCCATCCAAAAAAACTAAATCATCATTAACGAGTCGTAGTTTATTTATTCCTTACGCCATAAAAACAATTAAATGATCATCAAACATTAAACAGAACAAGCGAGAATTAACCAAGGAAGGAAAGAATAAGAAAAAAAAACAAGAAAATATCATAAAAAAACAGGTTAATTTTGCAGAATATATATATATATATATTGATATAAGTAAATAAAGAAATAATTCTATAAACAGATAGAGTTATTTTCTTTATTAAAAAAAACAGAAAAAAAATTAAACGAACGATTTTTCATCGGAACTCCAACCTTGTTGAAGATCAGATTAAATTCAAAATGGCGGATCGAAAATACTGTGTTTAAATATTTAATTGTTTAAAGTGAAATTTTAAATCTATTGGCAGTTATTACGACTTTTTGAGTTAAAATTTAATTAAATTAATTCAAAAAGCTAATAATTATCGTTAATTATTTATGTGTAGTGCGATTTTTAACTCAGGTATTAAGGAGCTACTAATGTGTTATGGGCATTTACTATAATACATTTACAAGGAAATATTTGATACATATGTATATCCTGAGTATAGAAGGAGTATACAAATTTTAACTCCTTTCATATAGCCATATCTTTGTGTATGTCATATAAAACCTCTGTATACAGTCACTATCATACAAAACCTCTCTATTCAGTTATAGTACGATAAAGAATGGTGTGAAAAACTCTCTATAAAACCATACCGACATACATATGCCCATCAGTAAGAATCCTATACATGTATGGGTATTGAAAGTTTAGATTTAGAAATCTTAAGACCATAAAACTACATCTCGTAGAAGGTACGCATACTACATTGCATTATATACATCTTATAAATTATATGTTTGTGTAGAATTATCTTATATAAATGTTTATCCTTAAGGACTAAAAATAGTAGAAAATATGCTGTATGGATCCCTTACAAGTTCGAGTAAGTATCCATAATAGAGGAGTCAATCTTCTAGAATACTGATAAACAATTCTTTCTAAATTTAGGAAGACTATTGTTTGATGCTGAATAATCAATATTTTATGGTTTAAAAAGGAAATGAAATTAGTACAAGAGTACAATTATTTTGTGAATTTTATAATAAACCGACTCCCTTGTGAAATTTTTGAATACATCAATTCAATCTCCGCAATTCGATCGATTGTACAAGCAGTTATCCAAAACCTAGAATTATCTGCATTTGCTATGTAGACTATTCTTGTACGTGTTTAAATTTATCTTTTCTGATTCATTCTGGCTTTAAACAGTTGGGCATAAATGCATCTCGATGAATAGAGAACCAGAAAAGAACCCCTTCGCGCATTAAAGGAAGGTGGATTTATGAATTACACGCTTCGTTCCTCCGAAGAACTGTTATAAAATTCAGCAGAAAAACCATTCCTCTTGGTAGTGGTTTCCGATTAAAACCACATGACCCTATTGTGGACATCGTCTAGAAAAATCTCTCCAGTTTCTTTCTTCATCTTTAACGAATCCCCTTATCCTGTTTTGTGCAGGCAATGTAGAAAAGGGGCGAGTAGGGTTGCATCCATTTATATTAATATTTATAAAGCATTTAAATGGAATCGGTAGCAGCCGAATCCATTTAAATGCTTTTGTGGAAGGGCCGCTTACCCGAGATGCCACTGTGACAAGATACAGGATTCGATCGATAAAACGGACATCGCTTCCCGCCTCCAATCTCGTCGTACACACTTTTGGCGCGAGACCAGTCGCCTTCGCTTTAAACTGACCCTCTTCATCACGCCATCCACTCATCATCTTCGATTCTTCCATGGATCTTCAAGCGATGCCTATTGCAATAACGTTAAAACTGATTCTAAATAAAACGTTCCAACTTCGCAACTCGCCAGACCAGGTGTAAGTGATTATTGATGGGGTCACTTCTGCAGTTCGACGTGCCATTACCATCCTTCGTTGAATCTAGACGTTAGTTAAAGTTACTTTGGCACCTTCTACGTAGTTCTTTTTTAAGTGAGGACAAAGATTCTAACTCGTACTGTACATCCGCATATTATCAGTAGTGAACTGATAATTTATGTAACAAAATACTGTACTCAAAACATTACGCTCTACAATAAAAAATGGTTCAACACTTTTCTCTCTCCTGCTATAAGGTGGATGTAAATTCTTGCATCTATTCGATATTCCCATGATTATCTAAATTTTAGTCGATTATATTCATGTTTACCGTAGCAACATCACATGTATCTAGTTAAAGACATGTTCGTTAATCTCAAAATATAGGAGAAAGTCTTCTCGAAACGATTACCAGATTTAACATCTTAATAACACCATGACTTATCTGAAGATATGCGAAGTAGTCTATAAGCTAAATAATGTATTCACAGTCTTATACGGACGTTAAAACATCTAAAAAATATAAAAAATAAATAACATTTTAAAGAATTTAAGAAGTCGAGTACAGAAGAGAACAATTGCACAAGTTGTAAGAGTGGAGGAGCCATCGGAGATGGAAGAAAAGTACAGAATTGTACAGAAACTTCTGTACTGTAGCGTGTGTTCGATCCCGTGTTTCGTAGGCCACAGACCCGAAGCGAAAATATCACCATAAACTGCGCAGCCACGGTCGACGACCAGACGTGTACGGATGGAGACCAACATCGTCGGCCATCGATATCGACCGGGTGGCACGAGCCGCCGTAACGTAAATTTATAACGTAATTTCCGTTTAGAGAAGATTCTACTAGGCTACATCCATCGGAGGAAGGCGAAAGAATCGTTTCTCGCATCACTCGAAGGGATGCTGCTAGAGAAATCAATCCTCGTATCTCCAACTTCGAGATAATCTCAAGTGAGCCGCTCTTGAGGGCCCACCCTTTGAGGCCTTCAGGAAACTTTTAGAATTGTTGTTTTTTCTTGGTAAATGACGTGGAGCGAGATTCCCGAAGACGTCGGGGATGCTGTAGTCGACGTACGTTTCACGAAAATGGCGTTAATCTCGCTCGGATGAGTACGGAGAGGTATCCTCCTGCCTCTTTGTAAAGTGCTTCTTACGTGCGGTAGGGCATGAAAGGAGTTTAAAAAATAAAAAATAAAAAGAAACGAGCCTTCGTCCATACAAATTACACAAGTGATGGATAATCTAAACGGATAGCAATACATGCCGCTGCTCTGTTTACGTCACATGCCGATACATCGCTCCGGATTTTTTTATTCACGGGGCCGCTTTCCCTGCATAATTTGGGTAGGGTATCGTCGGTTAAAGAGGAAAACTGTTAATTTTTCAACGCTAAGCTTTATTAAAGTGCAAATTCCTCATAAACGTCAAATTACGCATCTCCGACGAGACAGAAATCGTATGTAACGCCGGCGTGACAGAATCTCCGGAAGTTGACAGACGTTCCAGTTCCGGAAGAGAAATTCTCACGAAGGCCCCCTTTTGGAGAGAAATGGCACGAAGTCATATTTATTTAATTAACATTTTTTTTTATCCGAAACGATTCGAGGCCCCTGGAGGTAAAAACAGTCAAAACACGACGGGGAAAAATATTCTAAATCCTATACACAAATATATTATCCACTTACCATTTTCCTAATTGAGAGAAGTAGGCGCATATCCTACGGGCCAAAGAAGCGGAGCGTCTGCTGGAAGACGTGGATTCCTCGTCGTAATCGCGTTGTATATCTCCATCCATGTGCACTCCTCACTGTTAGAAGCCGACCGCTCGGCACCTCTCTTCACTCTGTCCGCGGCGCATCGCCGTCCGACGCCGCACCTTTCTCGGCGCGACCCCTACCGCCCGTCTCTTTACTCTGTCCCAGGAAACGGTGGCGACATCTGACGACGGTCGGAGGAATTAAGCAACTGCGGCGGTCGTCTGCGTATCGTCTGGCTACAAAATTGGTAAATTCGAATTTATTGCCTTCGGCTATGGATTCCGGCCCCGAAGCCACCGTCTCTAACGTCTCGTAGGCGGTTTGGAAGGTGGAAAAGGCCTCTGATGCTCCTATTCGGTCCGCGGGCGACGTCGTTTGTCTCTTCCGTTAAGCCTATTTAGGCTTAGCGGGTAGGATGGTGGAGCCCATCTTCGACTACCAATTCCGTCTCGTATTGATCGGCGATAGCACCGTGGGGAAGAGCACCCTCCTCAAAACGTTCACAGAAGGGAAATTCGCAGAAGTGTCGGATCCCACAGTCGGAGTCGACTTTTTCGCTCGTCTGGTCGAAGTCAAGAGCGGAGTCAGAGTTAAAATGCAATTATGGGACACGGCGGGACAGGAGAGATTCAGGTATATAAGCCTAAAGGTACGATTACGCCTCCGAATGAGACCCCTGAAAGGTGCAACTATGCTTCCGAATGAGACGTCGGGACCTCGCTGGAGCCGTAGACTGCACCGAATGGAGCAGAAAAGTCTAAGGAACCTCTATGTACGACTCTTTGTAAGATATGCCCTACTCCCGGATCGTGTGCCGTCGGGAGTCTGTTTAATTGTTTGGTCTGTACGGGCTTTGAGTGACCTACTCGAAGTTATATAGTTTTAGAGGAGTGTGGTGACTTGCCTGCACTCCTGTAAAACTATAAACTTCACTCGTGCCACGTGGATGCGAGGCGAGCACCAAAGTGTGTGACTGTCTGTGGAGCATGGAGAATGGGCGTTTTGTATGTGGTATAAAGTAACCTTTAGAAGTGAATATTGTGTGTACGGATATGGTTCCTTTGACTTTTTTGCTTGTACGGGGGTGGAAATTCCTCATTCGGAGTTCGTGTCTTACCCTATTCTGTGTAATCTATTGAATTGCAATGTAAGTTAAAAAGACTCTGTGCTTGCATTTTATTGAAAGTCTTGATACATGAATAGATAATGTTCATATGATTGTAGGATGGGCCGACATATAGAGGCATTTGAGGTGTGCGATTCCTCAGATATATCTCTTTTGTATGTTGGAAATCCTACTTTGGTAGTCTGGCCTAGGTGTGTTTGTCCTTACTCCTTGCTGCTTTCGCTTGAGTGATCATTGGATCGGACCAGGCTTTAATGGAAAAATTGGGAGGGTGTGGTGTCTGGGGAACTGGCCTGCTGGCGGCTGAAAGGATGAAATTGATTCGACTTTGCACCTGGTTGGCACACTGGTTGAGTGTTGTTTTCTGGGATTTCTTCTCATGTCTGAAGTCCAAAACAGTGGCAGGATTGGCTTGGATGTTGATTTTTTGGGCCTCAGACTAGGCTCCATTTTTTACTCAAATTTATGAGAAAATTTGGTAAAAAAAATTTTTTTTGCAAATATTTTGGGGTCTTGCTAGTAACTTTTTTCCAGGGCCCCACAAAACCACCTGCTGGCCCTGATAGGGACCAGTTTCCTGTGAAAAGTCCTTCCGAGATTCACTTTCCCCAATTAGCAGTTTGCCCGAGTGTTGTATTACCTCATTCCATTGGTCCCAATTTGAAGAACCAAAAGCTTTGGATGTCCTTCTAGATTTAAATCTGGATTGGAACATCAAGAACTTATATTAGATGGCCCACCCAACTATGTTGGTTCTTATTCCTTAATACCCGATTGACCCTACCGTAATGGGCAAAGTGAGAGAGATTGTTTGTAATAGGCTGTTGCATTGCATCGACAAATAAATAAATCAACATTTGGGATATTGATTTTGTTAACAGAATTCTGGCATATGATATATTGAAGTAGAGAATAAGATCAAAAAGTTAAAGTGAGAACAGATGCATTTAAATAAGAGCAGTCTATACCAAGGGTGGGCAACCTTTTTTATAACATGGGCCAGAATAAATTTTACGTTTTTTCCGCGGGCCATAGTAGTTAATTGACACCTTGTGACCTGTAAATTTTTAGTCTGCAAATATAAAATAAATAAATAAAAAGAAATTAATTACTACAGTCGATCCCCCTATAACACTGTTGATTATTCTGTTTTATATGAATTCCACGTTGTATGAGTCACTTAGATTTTACAAATGCGTGTGCCGGGCTGTGAACGGCTCACCTATTTGTAAAATCTAAGTGACTTTAAACACAATAAAAACAGCACTATGTAGTTGGATACGACAGACATTACATTTTCTAATTGCATAGCTTTTGCACATAGATTTTCTTGATGGATGATGCGATGAGATATAAATAATTTAGAAAAATTCTGTTCTCCCATTTTTTGTTTGAATAAGGAAATGACTCCCTTATTTTTTCCTGTCATTGCTGCCGCAACACTTCAGAAAATAATATTCAATTTAAACTAGACGAATTACATCGAAAAATATTTATTTATAATTTCTTCTAAACATCTCGCGGGCCGGATAGAAACTCTTCGCGGGCCGTAGCTGGCCCGCGGGCCGGGGGTTGCCCACCGTTGGTCTATACATTGATAAATCTAAGATTTTGACTTTCCAAGTGAATTAAGTATTAATACAAATGAGAAGGTAGAGTTTGTGTGTAATTTAATACAGATATTTGGTTACAGAAAACAAATATTGTAATACAGTATTTACAGGATGTGATTTTTTTGTGCTTGCAAATTAAGGTGTGTCACAAGAGTTAATAGCCCTTTCTTTATGAATGAAAATTCCGAAAGGATTCGAGATTTGATAGTGACTTCATAATATATTGATACAGTGGTACCTCAGGATATGAAATTAATATGTTCCAAAACTGAGATCGTATCATGAAAATGTCGTAAGGTGAATCATTTTTCCCCATATAATTACATGTAAAACCAAATAATTCGTTCCAACACAAAAAAACACACTCAAATTAAAGCTAAGTAGTACATTAAAAAAATAACTATAGTAAGGAAAACACTGAAAAATGCATTTTGTAGTTGTAAATGTGTAAATAACCATAATAAAACAATAATTGATTTTTAAAAAATGTAGTTTTATTTGCACTTTTACCTTTGAGGATAGACTATGGTGGAGGTGTAAACTGGTGATGGAAGAGAGGGAGAAGGGAAATGATACTAAAACTTAACTTATGTAACATAATGTAACAATAACTTAAAAATAACTTAGATTTTTAAAAATTTAGTGTTGTTTTATATGTATATATTGTTTTTTTAATTTTTATTCACTACTTTTTGCTTTCTTTCCTTCACTTCCACCAGCACTTTCACTGGATAGAGGTCGCTTGGTAAAATATCTATCCAAAGAGGTTTGGCTTTGCCTACTTTTTGCCTACTTTAAAATGACTTAGGCAAATGGCATTACTCCGAGCAGCAATACAGCTAGTGTGAACCTTTTTGGGATGTTTCTTTTCAATAAAATCAGTCACTTTCTGATAATACCTCAATATTTCCTTTATCGAGCAAGATCCTTCCACAATGAAGCAAACACGCAGACTGAGACCAATGAACAGAAGTGAATAAAAAATGGCGTTGTGAACTAATGTAACATTGTATGGTGAGTTTTTGTTTGTATCGTGGAGCAAAAATATGTTCGAATTTCATGTCGTATCCTGAAAATTTCATATGCTGGAGCGTTCGTATCCTGAGGTACCACTGTACTTATCTTCTGATGTTTGATTACTACAGTGCCAAACAGCTGATAAAAATCAATAAAAGTTTATAGATGAAAAGGAAATGTTTGAATTCTAGTATTTTGAAGATTCAATAAAAAGTTTATACCATACAATGTAAGGTGTGTTGCTAACACAAGATTATTCACTGATAAATATGTATTTAAAACACATGGTCAATGTCACTTGTCACACTAGAAAACTGTATATAAAATCTATATGATGTATTGATTTAAAGATTTTTCTCGGTCACATATTGAAAAGAACCCATAAACTATTTGCATCTCTTTTAGTATGTCTGATTCAATCAGAATGAACATTGACGTTACATTTAGTGCAAACATTTTGCCAATAGTCACTATTGAATCTGTGGTTCTTTTTTGGTTGTTTTTTAAATATATATATTTATAAAGTATATTGAATGATAAGACTTCGTCTACAGTCGTCAACTATCCCTATATATATATATATAGGGATAGTCTATAGTCTGCAATTCATGCAGAACACTGTCTTTGATGTAGACGAAGTCTTACGGGGGTGGAAATTCCTCATTCGGAGTTCGTGTCTTACCCTATTCTGTGTAATCTATTGAATTGCAATGTAAGTTAAAAAGACTGTGCTTGCATTTTATTGAAANTTTAAATATATATATTTATAAAGTATATTGAATGATAAGACTTCGTCTACAGTCGTCAACTATCCCTATATATATATATATAGGGATAGTCTATAGTCTGCAATTCATGCAGAACACTGTCTTTGATGTAGACGAAGTCTTATCATTCAATATACTTTTTAATATTCACTCGAACATTGCTCATTCATTTAACTTTTTTATTCTTGCGTTAATTAAAATAAACTTGGTTTATAACATTTTCATTTTTTGAATTAGTATTGTAATCTTTTGCAAACTGTTTAAAGCTTAATTGTGGTAATTAATGTAAACTTTCTATTAACGAAACTTACTTGATTCATTTATTATTATATAGCTAATGTGATGTTGACAGTATCATGAGACTATGCTATTACCTTGAGTTATATTTTCATAGATATTGTGCTTCTGAAATCTTACATCTTTACAAGATTATACACATGTATTTTTCTATAGAAATATATAACTTATAGTTTCATTTATACAAGATTATAATATTACAATTATCTTTCTAATTATTGAGATGATAGCTGACATCTTAGAAAGGAAAAAAATATTCTTCATGAAGATTCAATTAGATTCTTAAGTGTCTACATAGTTGGAAGATTAAGCAAGCAAATGAACGTAAGTTTAAAATATTTTAGAAATCTTTTACATTGAAACTTATTTCAATTTATTAGATTATATTTATTAATTACTATTTTCACAATAACTTTACTGAATCATCTACAATAAACAGTGAAATATTGATTTAATGAATTTTGTTAATACAAAACATTCTTTACAATAAATATTTTACGGATTTGTTACCAATTTTCTTCATATTAAAAGAAAGCAAATTTTCTCAGGTTTGATTTTAAAACTTATAATCAAAAAGGAATATAATTTTGCTGCAATCAGCACAATTTTTATGTTTTTAATTAATATAAAATGTTATGTTGAACATTGTAATCTATTGATTATTATCGAAATTTAATTCAAAAATGATTTACTCAGAGAAAGGATTAAAACAAAGTTCTCTATTTACATAATAGTAAACAGTTTAAAGTTGTAAACTTGGCTTTCATTGTATAAATTGCAGAACTAACACTTATTGACAAAAGTAGGTCTTAC